GAAAGTTTGCCATTTCCCTTACTGATGTCTCATCAGGCACCTCTATTTCTATGAAGTCCTCAGTGCTTTTTTCATGCTCTGACTTCTCTTTCTGAGCTTCACCCTTGTCATTCGAAATGGCCGACATTACATATTGGTCCGCTTTCTCTGACAAGTCCATGGGCTCATCACTTTTTTTGTTCTCATCACTCTCCCGTTTTTCTGTTGCTTTTTCCGCTCTTTTCTCCTCATTGTCTTTGCTCTCGGATTTGTCCTCTTTTGGGTCTTGCTGTCCTGAATCCTGTATGGGAAATTTGAATTCATTAAAAGTTCATGCTGAATATCATTTCTATAAAGAATGACAGTAATATTTACCTATTAATAATATCTGATCAATGAAGTTCATATCCATTAATAGTAATATTTACCTATTAATAATATCTGATCAATGAAGTTCATATCCATTAATAATAATCAATCATTAAATTATACCCTAAAATAACAATCAATTAAAAGAATACAAAACCTATAACTGTAATGAGCAATTAAATATACCAAAATACTTTAGCTAGATCTGCATCAGTAGGTACTGCCTTGAACTCTTAAATAATAACGGATAGAAAAATAAAATTACCCCCCCAAAAAAAAAAAATAATAATAAAATAAAATAAATAAAATAAGAAATGAAATATAAATAAAAACAAACAAACAAATATATAAACAAATAAATAAATAATAATATATACATACATATATATATATATATATATAATATATATATATATATATATATATATATATATATATATATATATATATATATATATATATATATATATATATATATATATATATATATATATATATATATATATATAAATAAATTCTGTACCTTGTCTTGAGAAGCGCTGCCAGCTTCCTCGTCTTCATGGGCTTGATCGGCGGGTTCATTCTGACTAATAATTTCTTCTGTAATTTCCTCAATATCAGATATAAACTTGACTCTCGAGGCCTTATCTTTGCCTGTCTCCTCTGTATTCTCCTCTTCCTTTTCCACCTTCTTCTGTTTCTGTTTTTCCTCCTCCTTCTCCTGTGTTTCTTGTGTTAATTTTAGCTGTGTTTCATCTTTAGAAACCGAGTCGTCTGGTATGGTACTACTCGATTTTGACTTCTCTGATGGTTTCTCATCTATGATCTCTTCTGCAACAGGGACTTCAACTGGAGACTTATCTGCCTTTGGTTTTCTTTCACTCGTGGGAATATCCTCTGCAAAAATTACCCTGGGTCCTTGATGCTTGTCACCATGTTTATTGTCTTCTGAAATGAATACCTTTTGTGCAGGTCTGGGACTGGATGTGGGTCCCTTTGTGCCAGAGTGAGCTCCGACGATTCCTAAAAATTTCTTGGCATTCTCCACGCTACCTCCTGAATGAATCACCTGTCTTTCTGGATTTGACGTGCGGGGTGGAGTCAACACCTTGTCTTGGTTATGTCTTGCACCATCATTCTGTGCTCTGTCTTCTGTGTTTTGTGGGATATGTTCACTCTGACAAAAACTGAAAATAGAAAAATAATTTGCAGGATAATTTTACATCTTTTAGTACTGAGTCAGATATGTAATGATAAAAAATATGATCTAATAAAATATTTTAGTAGCATTCAGCATTTCCTTTCAGTGATAGTTCATTTTTCTTTCTTTCATCTACCCTAACTCTAAAAATGGTTTTATATGCTATGTACAATTCTATCATCATCATATTATATTACATGCACTTATGCATGCACATGCACAGGCACGCACACGCACACAGGTACATGCCCGAACATGAGCATGAGCCCAAACCTGAGAATTCGTACAGGCACACACACACAGGCACACGCACGCACACACGCACGCACACATGCAAGCACAAATACAAAAAACGAAAATGATAAAAAATTAACATAAATAATAAGGATAATAATAAATATCAACAATAATTATAATCTACCTTACACAAAATATTTCATCTTCAAAGGCCTAAAACCATGACTCACATCAGAAATAACCTTTAGCCTATAATCTATCTTGAGGAAAAAGTAAATGAGGTGAATGACAAAGAAACAGAAATTCATATTCTCAATAGTATCCAACATTTATTTCCATAACCTATACTTAACCATATACCTAAATGGGTTTCAGTTGATTTCCATCAAAAGGTTGAATCTCTTTACCATGCTCTATCTAAACCTTTGTTCTTGTCATCACCCCCAGAAAGTATAACCCTAGCCTCTAAGATAATTGATCTCAGAATTTTCTCTGTTAACTGATTTTGTTTCATGGTTGCCTGCAAATGGGCACTTTTGCATTTAGTAGGTCTGATGCTTATCATGGTATACCTGTGTGCACGTGCATATGCATGTGGGTGTGTGTGTGCAAGTGCATGAGTGAGGGTGTGCAAGTGCATGAATGAGTGTGTGCAAGTGCGTGAATGAGTGTGTGCAAGTGCGTGAATGAGTGAGTGAGTGAGTGAGTGAATGAGAGAGAGAGAGAGAGAGAGAGAGAGAGAGAGAGAGAGAGAGAGAGAGAGAGAGAGAAGAGAGAGAGAGAGAGAGAGAGAGAGAGAGAGAAGAGAGAGGAGAGAGAGGAGTGTGTGGTGTGTGTGTGTGTGTGTGTGTGTGTGTGTGTGTGTGTGTGTGTGTGTGTGTGTGTGTGTGTGTGTGTGTGTGTGTGTGTGTGTGTGTGTTTGTGTGTGCGTGTGCGCACATGTGCATGTGTCACTCACTCACTCAAGAGGATGAAAACACTCACAGCCATGGTAGAGACTCCAGCCTCAGTTCTGCCTAACAGGAATCAAGGAAAATATCAAACATAACATGCGAGCCAGTGAAGGAAAAAAATCTCAGCCACTATCTAGCCACTATCTAACCAAGTAATTACCTAATTAGCCAAAAGATTTCTGACTTACCCACCTCAAAACAATTTAAAATGGTAAAAAAGAAAGAAAAAATCTAATATCTTTCCTCTCATTATCTCTTTCCTTTCCTTTTTCTCTGCATTTTGCTCATCATGAGTGCTGCTTGAATAATTCCATTTGCTGTTTATTCCCAAGGACATGGGGAGGGGGGGGGGGGGAATCCATTCCTACATTAAACATGAAACAATATAGAATGCAACTATCATAATCATTGGGTTAATTCACAGTCCATTATCAACTCTAAGAGTACGACAAACAGAAAACTAAAAAGTCTATCGATCTTTAAGCATCTGTGACAGTTAGCCATTAAATTATTCTGACTATTCATTTATATAAACATTCTAAGAAATCTTGTAAATCCCCTTTTGGAAAGTGAAAGGCTGCAGCTCCTTTTCAACCAGCAACAAGCCTTTAGTAATGTAAATCTTTCTTATTACATTTTTCCAAGTCTAAGATATTTGTGTTAATTTCTAAATATATGACAACCATTAACCATAAGGTACACAAAATGTACATGGAATAATAAATAAATTCTAGGTTATTCATTTATGACATATCCATTACAAGAATAAAGAAGACATATGGTACGTAATTAAAATCTCTAATAATGGGCTGTAATAAGTAATTACATCTGTGCCTTTAGCACTTCAGCAATGGCCAACAAACCTTATCTTAACTGGTTGGCTGGAATGTAACATACTATGTAACTGGCTCTTATTTACATATCAAATAACTTAAATTTCAAGTTGCAGCGAAAATAACATAAATAAAAATATCTGAGTCTTATTGAATATAATTTGATTCCATGTGCCGTTAATCTTGTGGTTGTTTCTGATTTTCTACTCATGTCACCAGTGTTGATGCCCGATTTGTCCTGGCTGTCCAGGGTAACATCCCAATTTAAACTTGAAACCAGGATACTGGCTTTGAGGTGCAGTCGGACCAGGGAGACCTAGTTACCTTTACAATTTCCGTCTCCTACCTTAGGGATACTGGGCCAAGAACATCCTTGTTTTGGGGTACTCGTAGTAAAGAGGTTCATGCTATTTCTGTTACTTAATGATGGGACATGGTCTGCATTACAATTTTCCTGATAAACTTTATGGCCCCCACACATTCAACTGACCATTACTTTATCAAAAAGCACAAGAAAAATATCCATTTAAATTAATTCTTCATGCAAGAGTAACTCAGAATCACTTCCAAAATCTATGCAGTACAGCTATATGCTCCTGCCTGTTGCTTAGCTCAAAATGAGCCTTACAACTTATTTAAGGCAAGCTCTTGTCGTAAATATTTAATGTTACCAAAATTCTTTGGAATAAGCAAAATGTTTCTCTGCTCGTAGTTCTATTATCGGTTCTCTTTTATACATTCCTCCTTTCTTCAACATAACCAATTCAATCACATCTCAAATTAATATTAAAGCAAGTGTTCACTTTGAGAAATAGAAAATAAAATCACTATGAAATATACAAACTATCCATACTGATACAGTCAAGAGATATAACCTTATGAAAATATCCCTTTACTCACATTTTATATTCAAGTAACCCTAAATGGCTACCTCAAAGAACAAAACACTCAACCCTAAAAACGTAAAATCAGTTCCAAGACCACAATCACAACCGTGACCTTTTAATAGGTCTTGCCATGACCACCACCATCACCCTTTCCCCGTATCTACACCTTCACTACTATTCCTCTAAAATTTCACAAAATGGGCATTTCTTGAACTCACCAGCATTGTGCGATGATTAAAATGACGATAAAGGCCAGTGTTTCAAGGCCTTTGATTCTGCAACACCTGCGAGGTCCATTTCCCATTTTAAATCCCGACCGATTTGTAGCACTTGCCCAACCGCTGCCGAACATCACCCTTATTTCCACCGATTTACGTCCTTCCACGCGCAAAGAGAGTGCACCCGGCGAGGCGTTAGTGTCCGGGAAGTATTCCTTGAGTGGCCCATGGTCTCATCTTTTACGAAAAATCCTACAGGGCGGAATCCTGCGGAAATTAATTGAGCGAGAGAATAAGCGAGGCTTGGCGACCTCCTCGACTGA